GGAGTATACAGACAATGTCTGGCTTTCTCTAATGCATTCCTTTTTTACCACTGCAAATGCTATTAATGTAAAGAATGAACAAAAAACATGTCCCTTTGCTGTTATATTTAAATATTACAGACTGAAGCGATTTCAGGGAAAAGCAGTAATTTTTAAATGAATCCTAAAACCCAGGAAAAGGCCCTTTGACATTAAAGACAAAGTAATACAGAGAAAATTTTTTTTTTTCTTTAAAATGTTTGAATATCAGGGACACAGGAGAAAGAACCTCTTGAAGTAGACAGGCCATAAAAAAAGGAGGGGAAAAAAGGTTGAAATGACACCCTTTCATTTAGAAAACTACTAAAACTTAGAAGCAGAACTAACAATTTATGATATACCAACGCAGCAGGACTATGCAGCAGTATCTGACTCTCAGATTTCACCCACTATAAAAAATAACATGCTGCAGTAAGATTTGACATTCTCTTCACAAAATTAATAACTGAGGACTCTTTGTACATAGGACATATTAATAACATAAGAATTCAATATTTTCAGCCAAAACGTTTTTTAGCTTATTTCTCTGCCACTATATAGAAATTTTCACATGTCATTCTGCACATTCAAGAGAAATAGAGTTCCAAAACAACAGTACATACAAAAAGGATGCATCTGTGATGGGTCACATTCTAGTACAAGGAATTCATTGTCAAGGACATACAGAAAAAGAACAGGAACACTCCTCAGATGGCATGGCATTCAGAAGTCACAGAAGCATGCGATACTATAATTTATTCATCAGTACTATATACCATAACCTCTGTGCAGACTCCATTTCAGGAAACCCTTAAAACACTAATTGCTGGAAATGGTATACTAGTGTAACATTTCTCAGTAATTTAGTCATTATGCATCTTTTATGAACCTGATGCCTTACACCAGGCTGGGCTGAAGTCCAAAAATCAAGCAGCACACTGTTAAAGAAGGGGCATAGAGGCAGTGGTAGTGCAAGGAACAAGGAGGAGACAATGGAGACACTGAGACTTGCAAAACCTCCCCCCAAATCAAAACAAAAAGCACCACACAGGAAGAAGGCTCTACCCTTACACTTTCTTATATGTGTTTTCTAAGCACCCACTGCTGGTCACTGCTGGAGACAAGATAGTTGCTTCAACTGGCCTTTGGTATAGAAAGTTTTTATCTCCTTCAACATTGTAAAATGAAAAACCACATTGTATCTCAGGAATATAAACTTTCAGACAGAAATATGTGCAAAGTCTCCAGTAACTTATGAGTAACTCCAAAACGGAAATCCAAAAATCTTGTTTGAATTATGTCTTGCATACAATACATCTAAGTATTATTTTTCTGAATGAATTATTTTTCTGATCATCATGATGTAGACCTTACATTTCACTGTCATTACCTAAAAGGCCTAGAAAACATTCATATTCCCTTTTCTGGTTTGCCTTTGGAACTACATAGTGTAAGATAAAACAGTATCAAACATGAATATAATCACCAACTGCATGAAATACAGTAAGAAAACATGATCTGGAGAACATTGCTGCTAAGAGTGCTTAAGTCTTCCACTAATCATGGACAGCAAATATTTCCATTTTAGCTCATTTTTAATTATATTTACATACATATATAAAACAGTGAGATTTTATGGTGCTGAAAGTTACATCACAATTTCACTTTTCTGGAAACAACCCACTCACTCCAGAAACTCACTCACTCCCTTACTACTAAACAATATAACATATAAACACAATTAGTCATTAAGACATGATATTCGAGGATAATTCAAATGATCCAGATAAAAAATAATCATCTGATTTAAAAGAGAATGTTTATATCATTCAAAGTTATCAGCAGAAAATAAATGCACGTACTCCTCCAGTGTCTTTCAGATGTACTCTTATGAAAAACAAAATGTGCAAGATGAACATTCTTTTAATGAAAACATGAAATTGGAGAGATGTAAGATTTTTCAAGGATGCCTGCCAGTACCTGTCTTCTCCACCTCTACTGTTTCCACGGCTGCTGGAAATGCACAAACACATTTTTCTCTCTCACTGAGACTACGTATTCTCTGAAATACCCTCTCAAAATGAATAAATTCCCCTTGCATCCATCTATGTTCTTGTGTGGGAGTTACGCTATTCTTTGTAAGAGTTGTTAATAATATGTATTGTGAATTACTGTTGTATTTACTTTAGTGCTAGCATGCATTTCCCTGTGCTGAATTTTAAGAGATGCTGCACACAGCAGAGACTCTTTGCCTGTCCTGTCCACTCCACAAGCTGCTACCATCATTCCACCCCTGTCTACTCAAAGACCTCACTGGGCTTCCTCAACTTCACAGGTTTTATGCCCATTATGTCCTGGCCTTTGTGCAGACACAAAGACATAAATACTCTGTGTAATACAAATATGTACTTGTACTAATCTGATGATTGCTATGTGACCTGCCTAATGACATGGCCAACGAGCAATATACTGGATTATCAGACTTCTTGTGTTAGTAACTTTGTTTTTTTTCCATTCTATTTGCCTTAATGAAGACAAATAAAATACAGAATGTTTTGTACTTGATGACTTGCATACCAAGGATTTAGCATATAGACCTGTATTAGAACAAAGAGCAGCTACGCCTAAGAATATATCACAACTGGCAAGAAAAGGAAGATACTGTTAGTTTTTCTTTAAACTAGGACTGCTCAACAAATTCACTTTAAGTTATACCACCATTTAAGTTCCTGCTTTTATGATAAAAACAATTCCTTGTAACGTTTCACTTTGCTTAGCAGAGTCAATCATGCCAAGGGAAAGCGAGTTCTAATATTAAACTTTGTTATTTCTGATTTTGACAATTAGATAGTTGGTCAAGTTTACACTTACAAAACCAGACATCAATAGTGATGAATACAAAATGTCAGAGAGTCTCACTAATGGATCTACCATGCTTATTTTTCAGCCTAAAATTACAGAAAACTGCTTCTACAGAAGTATGTTTCACTGAGAAAGAGTGAGTAGTTAAATGCCAGTGTCCTAATATAATAAGCAAATGTAAAAGTACTGCACTGCTGCGTTAGAAGAAAGAAATTAAGAGTACAACAATATGCAAACCTACAAAGGGAAAACATGTAAAGCTGCTTCTTGCCATCATACATGAATGCATGTATGGATTTTAACTAGATTAATTTTAACTGAGTTGGCAGTCAACTGAAAACAATCTTCAGAAAGAAACAAATTCTTAACATTTGATGGAAAGTATGTTTGCACTACTTAAATCTTTAAAATGCACTAGAGTCAGCGAAAGAAAAAAAAAATCATTACAGAAATATACCTTTAATGTTTCAATTTCTTCTTTGTGTTCCCTCTTTAAATGTAAAATGGCAGCTTGGTACTCTGTAAAAATAAAAAAGTACATTCTATTAGAGTCAGAAAACAATGTGCCATCTTCGGCATAGTATATTTCATAAAACACCAGCAGGTCCAGAATGCAGATGTAGGCTCTCAAATAAAAGACCTTTAACAATGGTGATGGAAAAGAAAATCTGAACACAGTAATTAGCATTATTTTCTAAGATCGCATGACCAGATTTTCCATGGTGTTTCCGAAAGCAGAGGATAAAGGAAAGAGGTCTTCCATGCTGAGAGAGGAAAATGCAGGGAAGATACATCAGACTGAAGTAACAAGAGGAAACTTTTGTTTTGCTTAGATTTGCAGATAAACATAGAGCTGATAAAGATATAATGACATACACATGCATGCATACCCACTCCCCTGAATTTCAGCAAAACATTCGTTAAATACAATGACTTAAACTGAACTGTAAAAACATACAATCACTAGACACAGGCAAACTGGATAAAAGAGCAATCACAAACACAAATGAAGACCTGGAAAATTACCCAACAGCAAGAGATACAATGAATTCTTTGTATTAATTCTACCATATGAAGATTAATATCGGGGTTTACGCACCTTCACAGGGTACTAAACAGCTCTTCCATTCAGCAAGAGTGTAATAAAATCCAAAGGTACAACAAAATTGAAAGCATGAAACTTGAAGCCAGAGAAATTTAAATTGGCAATGAAAAAATGAGGAGGCTGGGCATTGATTACACAGGTTTAGTGATGGTTGCAATGTTAATTACAATCTACATGGTGTAGATCCATCAAATAGACCTCTAGAACCTGGGTGTCAGACTATGGTTTCTCTCAATCCACACTATGCTACATTTGGCCAGACAAAGAAAGATGAACCTTTCATTACAGCCATGTAATGACTTAAGAGAAGGCTGTCTGCTGTAAGACATTGGCCCAGAAGCTACAGCCCTCCTAAACAAGCAACTGGAGTTCTTTCTTAGACCATCAAAGCCCCATCTCTATCTGCTTCCAAATCAAAATTCATACAAAAGTCTATTTCCAGTTTCCTGGCTTGGCTTCTGCTTCCTCAACTAAAAAAGGAATCAAATCCTATTTTAAATAAGGGTTGAAAATAGTCCAAAGACTTTAAATTTTACTGTCAGTGTTCTCTAACACAACAGGTTTGTATGGTCCCTGGAACAGCAGAATCAATAAAACAGCATTAGAACATCAAAGCATGGACTGAAGCACCAGATCAGTAAAATATCCCAGTGCTTAGGTGCTTTTTCCTTTTTCTTCTTTTTTTTTCTTCTTTTTTTTTCTCTTGAGAGCACATAGAGGAAAGAGGAAAGGAAAGATAACCTGGTCATCACCCTGAAATCTGTATGACATGGAAGCTGTTAATGCAAAGCTATTTTTTTCAAATGTAGGTGAAGCCATACGCAAGCAACTGACCTGATACACAAAATAAAAAGGAAAATGAATTGGTATTTTACAAGACATAAAATAAAAAACTTGGATGACTCCAACTAGTGATAGTATCTATCTAAACTCTCTGTCCTCTCTAATGGGTCACTACTTAGAGCTTTCCAGCATAGGAAAATTGCCTGACTGCTCTGCTGGAATCACAACCAGTTAGGTCTACAGAATTCCAGATTTTCTGCTGTTAATTCTTTGACTGGTTGATATTCCCTCTGGACACAGTCTCTGCTTATCAATTCACCTAAACAGGACTTAACAAACAGCTGCCTCAGGTCCCCAGAAAGAGTGGTGACCCTTCTGGCACCTCAGCTGGTTCAGCACTCAGTTTCCAGGGCATGAACCTCACGAACATCCTTGACTTGAAGTTTAGCTCTTTATGGTCACATGATAACTGAAGCCAACAACAGGTCCTGAAAATGCTGCTAACAATCAGTTCTTAGTTTGGCTAACATAAGGATACAGATCTACAGATCTATCTTAACAAAAGATCTACTTTCTATGTGGGATTGCCCAATGCTTAACATTCTTTGGGATTTGGGTAAGAGAGTCACAGTTCACATACGCTTGCATAGACCCACGCTGGTACCAAAAGCAGATCTTTCACCGTGTTTACCCATTCTCAACCCTCTGTTCCTTATTTTCTTATCTGGGCACAAATGTTTGCGCAGTCGGGGAATGACAAAAGAACCCCCATGGATGAAAACTAACACAGTATAAAAAGTTAAATAATTTTTTAAAAATTAATCTACAATGTCATTTTTGTGACAGACATTTTGCAACATACCATCATTTTAAATTATTTAAGTTGGCACATGTTTTTCATTACTTTTCTTAGCTGAAAGCTTCAAAATAAGTTCTAGAGACTGTTTTGTTTAATCTTTGTTCTAAAGATTGCTTTGTTTAATCTCTGTTCTAAAGCAGAAGCAAGACAGGGAGTAGCAATTCTCTTATGGTTTACTTATTTCCTAAAAATATGCTTAGAAATACTAGATTATAAGAATTAATAAACCTAATTCATTACTCAAAACACTGCTACTGCATAAAAGGAAGGGTATCATAAATCGATATACTGTAACATGTTTAATAGATTGTCTACTATGCAATAAACTGACATTCTACAGCATAAGCTTCTTTTGTTTCTTTCTACCATTATATTTCTTTTTTAACTAGAAGAAACGATCTATTGGATAGAAGCTGACATCCAGCAAAGTACCTTTTTAGTTTTTCTCAAGCAAACATTTATTTTTCTGTGTAAGATATTATAATTAAAAAAAAAATGACATCACAATTACAGTTTTATATAATATAAAGTAACACATGTCTATTCTTTTCATAATTTTTTAGAAGTCACCTTAATTTAGTACAAATCTACATGGATAGTCAACATCTCAAGAAAATATCCTGCACACAGAGATGGCAATCTGAATCATTAAAACACTGAAGAATTGGACTAGAAAGAATAATCACATCCATATAATTCCAAAAATCAGTTTCTGAATATACTGGCAGCACACTAATAAAGTTTATGCAATGGTGTTGGGATGCTGCTTAGAATGGTAAGATCACAAAAGCAAAGTAAAAAATAATGTCATGTTAATGGAAGGAACGGTATTGCAAAAAAAAATATAGGTCAGGCTTTAAACACTACTGAGTCCTTAAATTCCATTTAACTTGCAAAACATTTTCATCTAGACTACAGAAACGGTCCAGAAATACTGTATATTCTAAATTATCAGTGTGATTTGTCTAGGTTACAAATTAACTATGCCAGGGTTTAAGAAATCTGATACAGCTCTGTGTGGAGCCAGCCTGATTCTCACATAATCATTGTAGCTCATCCAGCCTCATTAGTTAAGACCCATGAACATATGTGGATAGGTCTCAGAACCAACTGAAATGTGAGGTTGCAACTGAATCCTATGCCCTCCCACCTCCTGGTGCTGCAATGCCTTGAGGACCTTCAAGACAGACACAGAAATGAATCTTCAGATCACAGAACAGCTGAGTTGGGGAGGGACAACTGGAGGTCATCTGGTCCAACCACACCCCTAGAGGTGGTTGCCCAGGACCATGTCCAGACAGCTTTTGAATGCTTGCACAAATCTCCACCCTCCTCATCCTCTCTGGGCAACCCGTGCCAGTGCTCAGTCACCCCCCAGTGAGAAAGTGTTTCCTGACCTTTTGCCAGACCCTTCCATGTTTCAGTGTGTGCTCAGACTGGCCCTTCACTGGGCACCACTGAAAAGAGCCTGGATC